AAAGGAATGGTCAAATGTTGTTGGTCCAGAATAAAGTTATTTCTATTTCGTTCTCAGACAAGATGGGAAAGTAAATGGTGATGCATGTCCCCGTCAGTGACCATTTCCCTCAAATCTATCCAAGTTCAGGTCTTTCCCAGTCAGAATCTTAACATTGCTTGACAAACTTGCTCTAAAATATTTATCAGAAGAGCAGAGTCAAAAATAGCCAAGATAATCAAGATAGTCATATGGTATCTGAAAGGGCAAGACTCCCTACTGTATGTACCTATGCTCATAGCAAGTAGTCTCATCAGGACTTAATTGTGAAGAAGCATCACAGTAAACAACGGAACAGACTCAAGCATAGATCCCTGCAAGTATGGGCGCTGGATGAGGACAGGGTTTGCTATATATCAGGGCACGCAAGAGAAGAACTCTCCAATAGTGCGTGTTGGGACAACTGGGTGAGTCATGCACTGGACCTGAATTTTGTGAGCCTAATAATGGCATCTCAATTAAGTTCCAATGGCTTACTCAGTTGCCTCAACATTCCTTATTGGAGAGCCCATCTTTGCTGTGTCATGATTTGCAACACTACCTCCACCCAACATCTATATTTGCAATGGATCTAAGCCTGGGCCTTGGGGATGGTCCACTGTATTGTTTATTGTATGTGCTTTTCAACACATGTAAAGAATCTGAATCTAGATCCTTTCTTGCGGGGAATTGGGAAGTCGTTAACAACCTGTAATTTTTGCCTGTCCATTTTTGTATGGAAAGCAGGGATAATTATTTTTATATTAACTTTGTATTTTTTTTATATTAATTTAGAAATGTATTTTTTGTTTTCTGGTCCCCAAGATAGGAAAGGAAGAATTTCTAAGATAAAGCAAAGGCACACAAAACCTTGCGGTTTTCTTCTTACAGATTTTGAGTGTCAACAGTTTCTTCTGTAAGTTTAAACAATTCAACAGCCAAACGAGCAAAGTCTATGACTGGTCCACGCATAGAAAATCCTCATGTTCAGTGAGCGGTGCCCAGGGAACAATCTCAATCAGGACGATGAGAAGGAAAACAAAGCATTTCTCCTTCTCATGACACGGGATCCCATTTCTTGTTTTACCAACTCTTAACAGATGGGCAAGTTGCTCCCCACAGAGGTGACTGTCATGTATAGCCCTCCAGCACGTAGCCCAGGACCCACTTCATCCGTGTTCACCCGTGCACATGGACAGCAGTGCTTCTGAGACTGTGGGAGGTCATGTAACTGGTTCTGAGCGATGGGCTGTGTGTCATTCCCAAAGAGCACCTCACTGCCTGCACAAGGTCTTTCCTTCTCAATCTTTCCCTGTCAAGGTGAAGGAGCAAGCCAATGATCCCTGATGGGGCCCTCCACTAGCTTAGGTCCCTATGGACTGTGGGGAGCTGAGCCCCTTCCTGACCCCCCAGTGGGCATGTAAAGTAGAATATTTGTCTGCTTTCCAATAGCGACTGTGAAGCAGAGATAATAACCAAACCAAGCCCATTGCTATCTGCTGGATTCCAACTCAGAGCAACCCTGAGGACACGCAGTGCTGGGTCCCAGGTTTCCAAGACGGAATCTCTACAGGCTCACACGGCCTGTCTCACTCGCTGAAGCAGAGGGAGAACTCAGGGGGTTGTGTAGCATCTGGAAGTTAGTTGTGGAGCCTCGTCAGCCTGCCCTGCATTTTTTAATAAAACGTACTTGAATTAGGTGAAGGTTGACAGAACAGCTCATAGTTGCACCGTTTGCACTTTATCCACACTCCGATTCAACGCATCCATTGCAATCCCCTCCAGGAACCACCACTTACTTACCTGCTTCTTCCCTGCGTTTCCTGTTTCCATTCCTCCTTTGCCCCCGCCCTCTGAATTTGGTCCTTGGGTGAATGCTGCCCTTGTGACCTCCAAAGGACAGTTCAGTTCCAGACCTGAAGGGTAAGGGCCATAGTCTTGGGGATCCCAGCCTACCCTAGTTTTTGAGGGACACAAATCCACCCCTTCCCTTCAAGCTCAGACAAGTGAACTCAGATGCACAAAACACTAGGCTTTTCCATCTCCTGCGTTGCCCAGGACAGGAGTCACAGTCTAATTTGCCAGTGAGCAGAGCCACATTTAACACTGAATTGAGAAGCTGAAGCACTTCCAATTTAAACACAATTTCATTGTTTTAGTAGTTCATTGTAATATAATTACTGAAAAGTTACCACCCATCAAAACTTGCTGTGGGTGTAAAATATACACCCAGTTTTTCTTACAAAGTTTTCCAACACCGGGTTTCTATTTTAGATATGCTCTGTCCTCATGAGGATTGCTTTATGGTGGCAGGAAAAAAGCTCCCCTCAAGTATATTGCTGCTGTGTGCCCCGAGACAATTCCAACTCACACCTAAGTGTGCAACCACGGCACACCAGGGCTCCTTCATATATATACGAGCCCTGGTGGTATAGTGAGCTACGTGTTGGGCTGAAGACCCCAAAGTCAGCAGTTCAAACCCACCAACTTCTCCTCGGGAGAGAGATGCATTCTACTCCTCTAAAGATTGATGTGCTCAGAAATTCGCAAGGGCAGTTCTACACTGTCCTGCAGGATCACTGAGTCAGAACTGACTCAACAGCAGTGATTTTATATATATATATATATCAATATGCATGTTTTATATAGAGATAGATATACACGTCTGTATGTGGATTGATGTAGTGGCTGTCACAGCAAACATATCAACCACTGTGAGGATAATACAAGTGTTTCATTCTGTCGTCC